GGTCACCACAGCGGAATGAACCACCAACTATTCCAGCATATGTTTTACACAGCGGATGCCCTTCCAGCTGCAACCCAGTACTTAGTAACACCCATACACACTCACACTCATACACTACATCCAATTTTAGCTTACCCAATTCCCCTATAGCACATGTGCTTTGGACTGTGGGGGAAACCGGAGCACCCAGAGGAAACCCACGCCAATAAGGGGAGAACATGCAAACTCCACACACAAAGGCCAACTGACCCAGGCGAGACTCAAACCAGTGACCTTCTTGCAGGCCACAGTGCTGACCACTGAGCCACCGTCCCGCCCTGATTTTCAGATTTGATGGGAAATGAGTGATGGGAATTTTAAAAACGAGTGTTATTATTGCTAATTATTATTTATTTCAGTTAGTTTCTAAACTGTCGTTAGTTTTATTAAATATTTTGTTTCTTGTGAATTTTTTACATTTTTCTTTCAGTTCACAAAATGTTTTCGGACCAGTAGTTTTGCTTTTCGTTTAATATAATAACCTTGGTTTGATTGTAAATACAGGCCTCACGGTGGCTCATTGGTTAGCACTGTGGCCTCACAGTAAGAAGGTCTCTGGTTTGAGTCTCGGCTGGGTCAGTTGGTGTTTCTGTGTGGAGTTTGCATGTTCTCCCCGTGTTGGCGTGGGTTTCCTCCGGGTGCTCCGTTTACAGTCCAAACACATGCGCTATAGGGGAACTGAACAACTACACTGGCCATAGTGTTTGAGTGTGTTTGGGTGTTTCCCAGTTCTGGGTTGCAGCTGGAACAGCATCCACTGTGTAAAACATTTCCTAGAATAGTTGGTGGTTCATTCCACTGTGGTGACCCCTGATGAATAAAGGCACTAAGCCAAATGAAAATGAATGAATGGTTGTAAAAGCGCCACCTGCTGGTGTTTCTGCAGAAAACTGAATCAATGTTGACTATTACAGGCTGGATATATTGGCACACTGCTATATTCACACGCCCCTTTATGATAAGGCATTTTTGCACAATAGGTATACTGTATTTAAATGTTTTTGGCCAGTAGTTGTAGCTTTCGTTCACTGTAATGAATGAGTGAATGCTCTGTCAGCTTCTCCAGCTTCCTGGGAGAGACGGTTCCTCATCTTCAGCTGCCCTGCGCCCCTCAGACCCACACAGAGGTGCTGTACCGGGAGCCGGCGGCGGGACGAGACCTGCTGACCGCTGCCGTACACACCATACTGGACCTGCACCGCCGCGGAGAGCCCGGAGACATGCTGGTGTTCCTGCCCGGGCCACAGGTCAGTGTGTGTGCGCCCGTGTGTGTGTGTGTGTGTGTGTGTGTTACTGAGCATCTGATCCTACATCCATCTTGCACCACTGAGCCACCGTGCCGCTTTATTTATCATTCATTCATTTTCCTTATGTTTAGTCCCTTTATTAATCAGGGGTCACCACAGTGGAATGAACCGCCAATTATTCCATCATATGTTTAACACAGCGGATGCCCTTCCAGCTGCAATATTCAACATTATTAATGCAAATAGTTATATGAATACAAAACACTGTGTGTGTGTGTGTGTGTGTGTGTTACAGGAGATCAGCGAGTGTGCGTCTGCGCTGGAGAAGGAGTGTGTGTCTCTGAGCGCGCAGCTGTCGTGTCTGCGTGTGGTGTGTGTGCATGCGGGCGCGGGGGGCTCGTCTGCGCAGCTGTACGACACTGAGGCTCCTGACGGTGGAGAGCTGGAGCCGGCTGAGGACCCTCGCCGTAGGGTCGTCCTCACTGATGCCTGCGCAGAAGCCTCATTCTCCATCAACAACGTCAGATACGTCATCGACTGCGGCGTCCAGATCAAGACTGTGAGTGTGTGTGTGTGAGTGTGTGTGTGTATGTATGTGTGTGTGTGTGTGTGTTTGATAGTGTGTGTGTGTGTGTGTGTGTAAGAGTGTGTGTATCTGTGTATTTGAGTTTGTAATAGTGTGTGTGTGTGTGTGTGTGTGTGTAATAGTGTGTG